TTGATATCAAATACACAGAAGTTCTAGGAAATGTATCTCTGTTAGACGTTGTTGCGTCAAAAAGTAATGGCTCACAATAAAGGAACTTCACCTTTATATAAAAAACTTAGACAACGATATTTAGGCATCATAATACTATCAAATTAAAGTTCCTAATACTAAAAACACAGACAACGAAAGAAATGAAAAAGTGTGGAACGTAAAATGCAGATGATAAAATAGGCGCAAACGTGAAAGCCGATCATGGAAAAGATGAGCAGAAATCACAGTCGTTTTGAACAAACAAATTTATTAAAATTACAAGAAGTGGTGATTGCACAGGCGATTGTCAAAATGAGTGAGTGTTTTGTTGAGGGGATGAGTGTGTGATGGTGTGTGTAGACATGCCAGTGATCAAAACGTCAGTAGGTGAAGAACAAGCTGATGAGCTGGGTGTTTGGCATTCTGGTCAAGCAGAGGTGAGGCACACGCTTTCTCAGCAGACAGACAACTGGTTACTTGCGTCTACAGTATCCATTCGAACACTGTCCATTGCAGCATTCCCAACTGTGCACACATTGTTCTTTCGACTGCAAACACCGACTTCGCACACACACGCCTTCTCGTGCATTGATCAGCTTGCACTGGTGTGGTGGACAACACTTCCTGTTCCCGTCCGCATCACAATGCTTGCCCACCTCGAAACACTGCTCGATCTCCGCTGAAATGTCAACCGCACAAACAACAACACAAAACACGTCAATCTTATTCACTCGTCAACATTTATCAACTGTTCCACTACGATAAACATTTCCACCATCCAATCACTACTCAATCTACAGCCAATTCACAATCACCACAGAGGAAACATCAATTAACACACAAACGCACACACTCCGGTAAAGTCTCATAAGTTCTAATCCACACACTCATTCACCGCATTCACTGCGTTCATTCATCTACTCAGACAACCACTCAAACAATCGTTCATTCATTCATTGATGTCACTCACCGTGGACACCGTAGATGCTGAAAACGGCGAATAAACACACGAGTACACTCGGTTGCATCTCAATATTGCTCACTGCAAGTCACTCCTGCAAGCTCTCTGTTCTGGAACACTCGGATCGAGTCAGCTGCAAACCGGTCACATCAACTAGTATTTATACCAGCAATCGGTCACACGGTTTCTCAGCCAACCACGACACAATCCATGCACGTGATCTCTAATCCGCCTAATCCATCAACTCTCACTCACTCACTCACTCACTCACCCACCCACGTACTCGGCTGATGCAGTGACTGAGCTACCGATCAGTCAGTCAGTCAATCATACAATCAATCAATCATCGGTGCGGCAGCGTGACCAACACATTGAGTGATCGAACGTGCCGATGAGTTGCTTGATCGGATAGACAGCAAATAGTCGGTCGGTCAGTGTGTGTGCATGCCATGATTAGCTGATCACTTGTGTACGTGAATGAGTAAGTGTCGAAGTGATTTATCGAGTGCGATGATTCGCAAGTGAATCGCACTAAATTGATTCTGCGTGTGTAACTGACTGCAATAATTGCCCGCCTACATCCAGCGCAGGACGTGCAGTTTATACTCACTACTGTCGGACTATTATGATTACAGACAGCTGAGTGCTCCTCAAAGGAGCTACTCATCTGCACACCAACCTATCTTCTGCTTGTCTACTTAATTTTTTGTTGTCCTCTTCGTCTGGAATTCTTATTTTCTTATTACGTCTCTGTTGTTCCAGTACTATTCTTTCGATATTCCCTGGTTCTGAAAATTTTATTGATCATTTCTGATTATTCCTCCACCTATGAAATGTTCGTTCTCTGAAATACGAACTAATGACAAATATCGGTGTATTGGTTGCATTGAACGTTCTGTGGTGTGTGTGTTGGCGATCTCATGATATCGAAAGAATATCAAGATCAAAACAAATATTACAGCCTAGAATGCCGAGGCAAACTGAGCAATGTTAGGGTCACGTGTTCAGGAAGATAATGGTTTTTCGTGCAGATAAACAAAGGAGTAAAGTAAAACAGTCACTGGTAGAATCGGCTACCATAATAAAAGTTTCCATTTCACCAATCTCGTTCTCTTCATAGAAGTGATGGTCGTAGACGTGGGCTCAGGACAAAAATGTCAAAGAAAAAGAGGAAGGTATGGCAAGTACGTAGTACGAGGATAAAGTCCAATACCGTTTTTGATTGGGATATTAGTCACGAAGGCGTATAAAAATGGAGATGGATAATTAATAGACTCACCGTAATTGAATCCTTTGGATTAAACGTCAGATCACCAGTTTTATTGGTGACCGAGTCGAGATTGACTATGATCACCACCACAGCAATTACGAGCCCATCACCCCAGATTGCTCCACCACAATCTCTTGAAATGGTTACCTTAATCCTTTTACGTGGATGTTTTATCTCAACTTGTTGGGAATACTGCTTTTCAGTCTCAGATACAGAGCAACCATTTATTAACCATTCCTTAAATATGCTGTTTTGTGCAGGAAAAGCCTTTGGTTATATAGCACGGGCTGTACTGTTTGCGGCATTTTGTAATTTCGATGCATTTTACTTTCTTTAGTAAATTAGAACTGTTTAAATTGAGCCCAGAATGTGCATTTCAACGGGACTTTAGCCTCAAGTCCAGATCAGCAGACCATGTTGCCCTTGACTTTCGATGCGATTGCAGTCTATGGCACTCAACCAAGAGGTACGAACGAGACTACGATCCCGCGTTCCGGCTTCCAGGTACATGCATCTGCTCGCTTTCGTGACTAGCCTCTCTGCAGATGACATATTGAGTATAAGATTTTGTCTCTTACTACATGGTTGCCGGAACGTTTTTCGTCATTCTTTTCATCCTGAGCTAACACACCCAACTATCGCCTTTCCGTTACTGTCGACGTCTGTTGGGGACGTTATATCCCCAGAACTCATTTGGAAAAAGTCCTAAATGAATGTATTAAACAAATGGATCGTCGTACTCGAATTGACAAACGGCGCAAATATCTCGATCTCCAGTCTACATTACGCACCGAAGCTAGTAAAGGGATTATATATAGACACGAATATCTTAATATCTTATCGTTATTCTGGTCCTGCGTCAACTCATCACATGAATATATTTCGAGAATTCTTATCATATGATCATTGATGTGGGGGAATTATTATCCTTATTCACAATGACATTAATGTAGGACGGTGATGAAATCACTTTAATCAATCATGGAATAATAACAAGAGGAATATTGTATTGACGTCATGATATTCACAACTTACTTAACTATCTTCTCTTATTCGATAACGCTTCAATTGTTCCGCTTAACATGAGTTCGTTCCACTTTATCGCCGTAAATTTTTATATTGTTATCAGCATCGAAGTATCAGCTCAGGCCATATCAACTATACACGATAGAATTCACTAGGCAGCCTCTACGGACTGGACAATAGAGCCAGAATCCTCGGTTGAATAGGCGTGGGATGTATTCGGAAATTTGTACATAAAAGTTGCTGCACTGCATACTCCTCGAACTACACTAAGGAATCCGAGACACTCACCATCGTGGGTCGGCTAAGGAGTTCGAACACTTATCAGTTAGCGGAAAAGAATGTGGGAGAAATTCAGGATATTTCCAATATCCAATATATCTTTTTCACGAGCTGGTCTAAACCAATTTATTTCTTTGTGCTCGGTTCTTTTCTTTTGCTACCGTTCCAGGTGGGACAAAATCTTATTGCTGGCGAGCCCGAAACATATGCCCCGACTCTCCGCAAGTCACGACGATAGTAAGAAAAAATCTAGTTAAGGAGTCTACAGAATACCAAAAATGCCTATTCGCGTGCATCAACCAACGGACTAAGGGAATAGTAAAAGTATCGGGATGATGGGAAGACAGTGGAGGACTTCAAGTAAGACTCAGGTATTCTAAATCTACGTTGCTGCAGCTCACAGAATCCCATCTATTCAGAAGCTGAACACTGTGGCCTTTAAGAGACCTGATGTCTTGTAACAGAAAAATCTATGGAGTCTGATGAAACGCACCGCAGGTTACTCAAGGGACTCACAAGTTTAATCAAAGATCTCTAAATCATATGTTCTGATCGGTCTGTAAACTAAGGTTTATTGCAGAACGACTGGATGAAATCCTTACTAAGTCCTGTTTTCAAAACAGGTTTGGGATATAAACTTAAGAACTGTCAGCTTGTAAGCCCGTCTAGCAAAGTTGCGAAGATTTTCAACAATATTATTCGTAAGAGGCTGTTTAAGTAACTGGATGAAAATTAGACGCTTTCCCAAAAGCAACATGGCTTCAGAACAAACTATTTTCGTCTCAAAAACTGTTTAGATGTGCTTATAAATGTTGCCTCCGTCTAATTTAGAAAGTCTGTGGATAAAATCCCTCACAACGAGTTTTTTATCTTCGTAAAATAATATCAATAATAGTATGAACTCCAAGCTTCCCAGCTGGGAAAATGTGCTCAGCAGGGCACCTCAGGGTACAGCTTGGGGTCCAGTGTTGTTCCTTTTGTGCGTAAATGACCTTCACAATCCCCTATCTCCATTGGTATTATCATATGTTGATGAAATCGGGGTATGGAGAGGGATAAAAAATGAAGGTAACAGTCTACAATTTCAGAATGAGCCACGGAAATTATCTGAATGGTCCTGAACCTCGAAGTTGTCGGTAAATGCCTTCAAGTGCATCTTCATGGATATTCGTCACCAAGTTACCGATGAAACCGTGGTGAATAAAGACACGTCACCAGTTATCCAGACACAGTGGTCTATGTGTTGATATTAGCCACGACTTGAAATCCACTACAGACTGCCGTGCGATGGATACATCTTTTGAAGCGCTTAAGAGAAAGCTATATCATCTGAGATATTTAAGTTTCTTGGAGTAAAACTAGCCACCTACCTTCTTGTCCTTGCCAGACAGGAACGAAACTGAAATAATCAATCATATTGGAAATGATCTGCCAAGGTTGGCACGCATTCAAGCTGCCGTGACACACGTGCATTTATGTCGTAGTTACGAACTGCAGACTGTAGACTCCAAAAAAGATAATTTACACCTGTTTCAATGGTGTTAAAGGATCCTAATGAATCACATAACAAGGACGTTAACAAAAAGCATCGCCCACGTGTCAGCGGTCGTAAAGCTCAGAAAAAATGTTCTCAGGAATCAGCAAAAGCGAACAATCCTAAGGCATTTGCTGTTCAACATACAACTAAAGCATCGCGTCTAGTCCAGCGTACGCTTGACCACCAAACTAAAAAACATCACTTGGTGCAATCCAAATATGTTTCGGCTGTCCCACCGCCTTATGTGGTTGCGATTGTCGGTCCTCCAAAATCCGGTAAAAGCACACTTCTTCGTGGGTTGATAAAACACTTCGCACATCTGTCTCTTGGTGTCCTTAAAGGTCCGGTAACTGTAGTAGTTGGCAAAAAGGAGAGATTTACTTTTATTGAATGCGGGTGTGAAATTAACAGTATGTTAGATGCTGCGAAGATTGCTGATGTTGTTTTGTTACTCGTTAATGTCCGTGCAGGACTGGAAATGTATCATTTTGAATTTATCAATATGGTGCAAGCTCATGGGATGCCTAGAGTTGTTCCTGTCTTAAACCATCTAGATACATTTAAGGATTCCAGCTCTTCTCGTGCACTTCGAAGAAAAATTAAACATCGCCTGTGGACCGATCTTAACTCCAAAATATTTCTTCTCTCACGTTTCCAACCAAAGAAATGTAAGTTCTGAAAAATGTTTCTTCTTTTAGACGTTTGATTAGCACACCCTAATATTTGTTGATCCAGTGGAATTTTTTTTCATGTATCTCTTAGAATGACTAGTGATCACTACTAATTTATTCGGCATTCATTCTTTGCTAGGCAGAATACCTTGGCCATACAAAGCGTGATTAATTTCTGGTAGTGTTGATGCTAACAACTACACGTGGGTACCAACTATCATGTAGTTGCCTCAACTAATCTCTAATTCCTATCCATGTGTTCGATTTAATGCATAAAGTAGTTTTATGACAGTTTCGAAGAAATCTGTACTTATGGTTTACGAGATAATCACCCAAGTATATTATGTATTTTATACTAGCATACTTCAAATCCGTTCAGTCGTTTGAGTGAAAAAATTCTCGTTAAATCAAGTGGAATGAACTTGTAATTTTTTGCAGTTACTTTGGATTTTCACCTAATCGGAACTCAAACGAAGTTACATAATCACGACTAGTTTCATTTACAACTATTCGGATTCGATTCATGAAACCGTTGTTCTCAGTAATCACAGCAAAGCTATTTCCACCCGTAACACCTACATTTAACTTGCATCAACCTCGAACATTCCTAATGGCCTTAGGATGCAAAACATTTGCTCTGTTGGATGTTGTGGTGTTTTGTATTCTAATCAGTGCTAAAACAGGTGTTTCTGATCTATTCACAAGCTGAAATAGTTTTCAACTTAAGTTTTTGTTGTCAGATAGTGCCTCAAGGGTTACGATCTAAGCATTGTTCGTAAGTGGTTTGCTAAAAATTTAGCATTTCTTTTTGGTTGTCACACCAGTGAAATATCTTGTTATATGTATGATTATGCTTCCATATACCTTATACTTTTAGTTTCTTCTCATAAACCGGATGAAAAAAATACAAGCGATACTCCAGGTGATTATTTGTTAAATGAAGTCAGACGTTTGGCTCGGTTGATCATGGTCAAAACTCCTCGCCCTTCAGATTGGCGTAGCTCTCATCCATACTTACTAATTGATCGGATAGAAGATGTAACAGACAGCAAAATATCCGACAATATAAATACTGACCGTTGTGTTAGTTTGTATGGGTGGGTTCGTGGTGCTCCTCTACCACCAGCGCTAACATCTCCTGGAATACACATCGCTGGACTTGGTGACTTCGCTCTAGTTGATTGTACTCAGCAACCTGACCCCTGCCCACTACCGGGTATGCTCACACATTCTGGTGGTAGTGATTCTGTGAAGACACCAAGGCATTTGTCTGAACGTGATCGAAAAGTAATGTAAAGTTTTGTAGATGTTTTCATTTTTTATGCGTATATTTTGTTCGTTACTGTGTATTGGACTATTATATGTAGTATTTGGCTGAAAAGCTGTACAATGATTTTTCTAGGGGAGTCCCAAATATCAGTTGAATAACTCTTTTGTCTGGGAAGACTGGCAATATAACCAGCCCTCATAAAACTGAATGCACAAACATATACCTGATTAATGAATCATAGTCTGATTGACTGGATGACATACTCATAAAATAAGGATTACTTCGAATATGACAATAACTGAGCAGTCAACAAATATGTTTTGCAACTGAATGACTGCAATTGTAATAAACACAGTTTGCATTCGTATAATGAATAAGTTTACTTCACAATCAAAATAGCTCTCTTATTCCTTTTTCAACTGAACATTGTTTTTCGCGTGCAAACAGTACCCCGAGTAGTATGTAAACAAACACTGAACCAGTAGTTGTGTATGCGTTGGACAGTTTATTAATAAGTAAATTTGTTTATTGACTAGTACACTTTTTTCCAAGTCTACAATCAATCAGAAATTTCAAGTCCCATAGTGTGTTTGTCACTCAATCACTTAGTGAGCTACAACGTAGAACTTGGTTACGTCAGTCAGTCAGTCAGCTGCAACGTAGAACTCCGTACGTTGGTACGTCAGTTCAGGTTGCCATACCACATTAACACAGACGTAATTGTCAATTCAAATCCCAGAGACAGTAGGAGAACTACTGGTAATGGAGAAGATTAGGGTTCAAAGTTACTATTCAAAAAGTATAATTCAGTGAAATAAGTTTAGAAAGACAAAGGTAGAGGTGTTGACAAATCCAGAAGATTAGGATTTGAGAGAGCTCAAAGAGTGGATGCACCTGCGCCATTGTAAACGATTTTGAGCCATGTCGTTCAAGGTCTCTAACCATCGGTGACTTTCGTCTCGCGGACCCCAACCAGGTAGTCTACATCTACCAACATGACTCAGTCCACTTGTCAGTGACTTCATGGATTTCTGCCATTGTTAGTTTGGCCGTCCCTAGTTTTCTTCCAACTTATTCCTACATCACAAAACATAGGTCGACGAGGCAGTCGGTGTTTAGGCATACGTAACATGTCCAAAACACCTCAACCGATGAAGTTTCACTACTTCATATATTGATCTGTCATCATTACCTAGCAACCGTTTCCTAACAACAGCATTGCCTACTTCCTACATTATTATTTTCAACTCATTTTTTAGGTGCGAATTCAAGCATCTAACTTCAAACCATATTCTATCTGTGAGAGTTAGTAAGACTACTAGGTTGCTCAAATCCAAGTGGGTAAGCGGGCTTCGAACCCCAAGACTTAGTGACTGAATGTAGAATATTTTAACTTCTGAACTACCGCTATATATCATAGTATGTTAAATACAAACTATTATTATTATTATTATTATTATTATTATTATTATTATTACCATTACTACAATTACGACTTTAATTCTTATTTAGATCTATGCTCCAATGTCAAGTCTCGGTGGTGTTCTATTCGATCGAGACGCAACATATATCGATCTTGGAGGCAGTCATTATTTAACTAATCGAAAATCTCGACATGGAAGCAATCAAACATCAAATGTTAGTCAAACTATGTTAGATGAATTACATGCAACATTCAATGAAATTGGTGGATTAGATGAACAATTAGATAAGACGCATAAAATTCGTATGATTAGTAATGCACCATTCATGTCTACAGAGCATGATACAAATGATCTTGACGGTTCTCATAATCTCAATAATGATGTGACAATGAAAGATGTCAATGAGGAAAACATTGACGAGTCTACTGATGAAGTACGTGTATTTTCAGAAGAACCTATTGCAGGATTTCTTGTACCAGCTGGATCGCAGAAAAATGAAAATGTCCAAAAAAAAACAAAATCAGATTCATCCGTGTTAAAAAGTGCACATATGCAAGTAAAACAAATATTGGATGGTAGGATTTTTTGTGTTTCTTGTTGTTGTAATTTACTTTTTTATTGATTCTAGCTAGTAAATTCTAGTTATTGAAATGGCGGGTTTTCGTAGGGATTGTTTAGTTTGCAGTTGGTTTTCATCACAACTAAATACCACTTGTAGAACCAACAAAACCAGGAAGTATTACACGATTACTCTATCGTGGATCAGATAGACAGATACAACGCAGAACTTCGTGCGTAAGTACATCAGTTCACGTTGCTATGCCCCATCAGCACAGAGACGCAACTGTCAGTTCAAATCCAACAGTGATAGCAATAATAGAAGTATTAGCAGTAATGCAGAAGATTAGGGAGCGAAGATATGATTCGAGAAGTATAATTCAGTAAGATCAGGTCTAATCAGCGCTCACTTGCAACTTAACACTAAATCAAATTCAGTATTTTTAGTTTTTATGTAGAATACGATATCACTCTATACCATAGAATCCACAGTTCTAAAACTTCAATCATGTTTTTTGATATCTTGTGTCGTTGGTGAAGTATATCACTCTCAATGTAGAGTTGAATTCCGCTAGTCATAGCTTTTCATGTAAACTTTAGGGATTTTCCTTGTAGCTAGAATTATTATTTCTACTATTATTGTCATTAAGTTACTGGTTAATTGTTCAAATTTTACATTACGCTTTTGTCTGTTAGCACTAATAGTTTATTTTGAAGTGTGGCGAGTTAGAATAATAGAGGTTTGTATCAGATACTACGTTATCTAGAACTGACTAGGATATTTTTTGTCCACCGTAATAAATGAACAAAACATCTTTGAACTGAAAGAGTTAAAAGCATACTGGGATAATGATATATATCTATTTCAAATGTTTCTCATTTACAAATCATGGATTATTAGTCAAGCCGCCGTAAATACAACCTATCTACTAAAAACTGCGGACGTTTTGTGTAGAAACCAAAGGTGTTCACTCCATAACTTCCTCAAAATATCACCTAAAAGGATAACCATTTCATTTCTGTTCCCAATCAATCAATCATGTTCATTTTAGAACAAGAAACATGTGGACTGATTCGAGTTATCATGACACAGTAAGACACAATTATGAAGACGAATCCTAGAACGGTAGAGTTAGTCACAGCATCAGTAGTAAGAGGAAAGATCTAGTATCGAGAAAGGAAAATATAAGCTCATTTCGGTAATCAGGTTTTAAGGAAAGACAGAGCGAATGCTCCATGTAACCCTGGGTCACTAACGACTGGTTCCGATAGTCACGTGAATCACAACGAATTAGTCTACATCTACTTACAATGATTTCATAAACGGATGCCATTTTCTGGTTTAACTGCCTCTGACTTACTTCCAACGTACTTCTACACCAATCAACATCGCCTGTTAAGGTAAGCGGTTATACTACTAAACTATTTATAGTATCTATAAGTAGTAATATAAGTAGTATTGACTACTATTAAAACAGTTCATCTTGCTTTCAGATATCGAATGGAAATCTACCACAGTTTCTTTAATCAACTGGAATCGTATTGTCTATGGTGTAAATAATGGTAAGTTTTAGTTTTGATGCTTTGCATATTTAAGAATTCAGTTTTAAAATAAATTTAATCTCTGATCGAATAATTACATGTTCATCATTTTCGGTTGTTATTGTTGAATGGAGTGAAAATAAACATGTAATTAGGGAAATTTTGTATTTTAGTAAGCTGACTGTCTGAGGGCGAAGTCGTACTGCTGACTGCAGAGGGGTGTGACAGCAGTAAGGTGTTTCCCTCGGACAACCAGCATCTGCAGCGATGCTGCCTTCTCACAAGGAAGGAAGGGTTAGAAAAGGTCGGCCCTAAAAATGTCACACCTCCCCTAACTCACGGATTTCCGTCTCCCTGGGTAAGGGTGCCCACTAAGGGCCTTTAAGAACGGAGCTAATCCTCAAAATACCTTTCATAAAAAGGCCGTGCGTGACTGGCCTCAAGCAGTTGTCCCTTGGGCTCTGCGGTCACGCACCAACACTAATCCATCTTCCTTTTCAGGTCCCTCAAGAAACAACCTTCCACGGTGTGGGCAGCCGGGAAGTGACAACCGCCCTCATACCCGTAACAGCACGCGAGACCAAATTGGTCGAAATCAAATCAAAACTCAGACAGGTCCTGGAACATAGACACACATTTAGGCGTCCTACAATAGTTGTTTTCCTAGACCTTAAGGCGGCATTTGACTCTGTTGATCGTAAGGTTCTGTGGCAGTGTCTGTCATTGAAAGGTGTACCAAAGAAGTACATTAACCTTATACAAGCTCTTTACTCAAACACCACTGGTCGAGTGAGGGCTTATGGCGAACTGTCACCGGCATTCTTCACTTCAAGTGGTGTCCGTCAGGGATGTCCACTTTCTCCATTCTTGTTTAATTTCATCATAGACATGCTCCTAGAAATAACCTTGTCCTCATCTGAATTTTCAGGAGTAGACCTTTTACCAGGTGGCTCGCTTATTGACTTAGAATATGCCGATGACATTACCCTACTTGGTGAAGATGCTAACAAAATGCAGAGTCTTCTGACTACCCTAAGCAACAATACAAGCATGTTCGGGATGCGGTTTTCCCCCTCGAAATGCAAAATGTTGCTTCAAGACTGGGTTGCATCGGCACCTGAACTAGTGATAGGGAGTGAAGTAGTCGAACGTGTAGACCGCTTCACTTATCTTGGGAGTCTGATCAGTGACGATGGCCTGGTGACTGGCGAAATCTCAACACGGATACAGAAGGCTCGATTGTCTTTTGCCAATCTGCGTCACTTATGGCGTAGGCGAGATATCCGTTTGCTGACTAAAGGACGAGTGTACTGCGCAGTGGTTCGCTCCGTCTTACTTTATGGCTGTGAAACATGGCCAATGAGAGTAGAAGATACTCGTCGGTTATTGGTTTTCGATCATAGGTGTCTTCGAAGCATTGATCGAGTATCGTGGGACACCCGAGTGAGCAACGCTGTTATTAGGAATCGGGTGCTAGGTAAGGATGGCAGATCAATAGTTGAAGTATTGAAACTTCACCAGTTGAGGTGGGACATGTGTTACGAATGCCCAACTACCGACTGCCGCTTGGAGCTATGTTTTGTGGTATAGAAGTAGGTTGGAAGTAATCTAGAGGTGACCAAGGCAGAAATCCATGAAGTGACTGACATGTGGACTGAGTCGTGTTGGTAGGTGTAGACTACCAGGTTGGGGCTCGCCAAATGATAATAATCGATGGTTAGAGACCTTGAATGACATGGCTCAAAATCGTTCGCAATGGCGCCGGTGCATTTATTCTTTGTGTTCTCTCAAATCCTAATCTTCTGGATTCTTCAACCCCTCTAGTTTCGACTCTCTAAACTTTTCTCACTGAATCATACTTCTTGAATAGTATCTTCTAATCCTAATCTCTCCGATTACTTCTAATACCTTTACTACCTCTACTACTATTGGATTTGAATTGACAATTATATCTGTGTGCTGATGTGGTATGGCAACCTGAACTGATGTACTTATGTACGAAGTTCTACGTTGCATCTGACTGACTGACTGACTGACAATAGTTGTAAAACTATGCCATACTAATAGCCTTGAGCTATTCTAAAAGTAATCTTGACCCATCTAACATTAATCGAATTTTGCGAGATGCAGGAATCGTGGATGTGCACTGCCACTGATGAGTCCCATACCAGGACAAAACGGCTGTTATCCATTGCTTCCAGGTTTCTAATGGTGGTTTAACATTTGATCGATTCATGATTTCAGTGAGTAACTTAACAATCTCCACAACCCTATAATGCCATAACTTATAAATAAACTTATTAATAAACTTGTTAAGATTTAAACATCAGTAAATAGGGTTAAAAACTCCCTAGTACCAATAATTTTAACATTCTTACTTAAACATTCCAATTTTGATTCATAAACCCCTAATCCTAGCACTGCATTCCACAAGAGAATCATTATTTTCTCCATCTAAAATAGGCATTTTGGTAAAAAAAGATAATATCTAACGATAAGCTATGTACAATAGCGTTATGAATATGAAGTTAAGCTTGAACGAATTCTAAACTAATCAATCAGTAAACCATAAATGTGAGTGATCCTCCAATCCAATATAAGATGAAGGGATTTACAAAGTATATACTAGCTTTTGTGTGATTAATGATTTGCCCTACATTGCCAATCGGTTCTTTTGTCTTCAAGTTGTATTCTATAGAAGTGTTTATCCATATGATTCCAAGGAATTTTCGACTTGGTAATAGCTTTTATACAGTTGTAAATAGTTTTTAGAAAAGACCTTAAATGCATTTCACTTCGTAGATATGTACTTTCACCACGTGTGTTAACATTTAAGCGGAAATTCATCATCAGTATTTGAACGCTTCTGTTAAGAGAATCATCAGTAGTTCAAGTTACAATTGTGGATAAAAATGTAGCAAATTTAATCTAGTTGCTCTCTTCCGCTGCCATATTATATATGGCTGTAAGAAGGATTTGATTGTGACCAAGTTGGTCTGGTGTGCTGTCATGGGTACGAGGGCGGACATCACTTTCCGGCTGTCCAAACCATGTAAAGGTGTTTCTTGAAGAACCAGAAAAGGAAATTAGATTATTATTGGTCTTAGCGACCTGGGAGCGTAACCACAGAACCCAAGGGATAACTGCTTGAGGCCGGTCATGCACGAGCTTTTTGTGGAAACTATTTAACCTGTTAGCTTCGCTCTTCAAGTGGCCCTACCGCCCAAGACGGAAGTCTGTGGGGCAAAGTGAGGTGTGACGTTTTAAGGATCGACCATTTTTAACCCCTTCCAGCCGTTTTGCGAAGGTAGGATCGATGCAGATGCTGGTTGCGTGAAGGAAACACCTTACTGCTGTCACACCTCTCTACATTCAGCAGTACGACTTCACCCTCAGGCTTTTAGTGTTACCGTTCTTCAGTCGACCTGCCTGGCATGGTAGGACCTAAAGAAACATGCGTTTGAGCTAATATAGCTCGGTTCGGTTATCACAACAGATAAGCCCAACCACCACGTCAAAGTAGCAGCCACGTTCGGGGTCATATATTACAACCTAATATCATTAAATACCTTACACTTTTGAAATGATGCCTAACTCTAATCCTCAGCTGTTAATTGATTGGAAAGTGAACTACATATAGATAGATTTCTTCTAAGTGTCTATGACAATTTACCATATTTTTGTCATACTATTTGTAGATAAGCATATCATTTTTATTACATTAATTTATTTGTCGTGCCATCGGTTTTGGTTTCAATTTCAAAGCATTCAGGGGCTTAGTTCAGTCATCCACTTTTATAAACACAATCATCTCAATTGGTCGACATTCTGTTGTTTAAAATTCATTCTATCAATTGACGTATCATCTCACTAATTAATTATGTCTTCGTCTATAAAAATTTTAACGGAGTTTTTTTTACAACTATTCTATTTTTTCTCAATTATAGTTTTTTGGTTGCCTAAATGATTCAACGTTTTATCACAGGTTTGTTATGTTGGCCTAATTGGAATCGATAGCGATCCAGACGGTGACATCGAAGTCACTTGATACCAATTAGTTCGACATTATTACCTATTTATTTACACATGTTACCCATCGTAGGACATAAGCCACTGACCAGGATTCGCCAACCTATTCTGTCCCTGGGCCTTCGTTCCCAGTTCTATCTAATTGCCGTTCATTCTTTTCATGTCTGTCTTCATATCTCGGCGTAACATGTTCCTTGACCTTCCTCTTTTCTTTGGACCTTGAGGATTCCAAGTTAGGGTTTGTGTTGTGACGCAGTTGGGTGCGTTCCTCAATGTGTGTCCTATCCACTTCCAGCGCTTGTTCCTGATTTCTTCTTCAGCTAGAATTTGGTTTGTTCTCTCACGCAGTAGATTGTTCCTACAGGTGTACGAGAATAGGATCCGCAGTATCTTATGTAGACAACTGTTGATAAACACCTGTACCTTGTGGATGATGGCTTTCATGGTTCTCCAAGTTTCCGCTCCATAAAATCAAGCTGTCTTGATATTTGTATTGAGAGTTCTGGCTTTGGTTGTTGATTGACAGGCAGTTGTTTTGAGTTTATAATGTTCGTCAGTTATAGAGATACCCCGTTTCCTTGCCTCACCGATCAATCCATGCAGACAGACGGACAGATACAACGCAGAACTTCGTTCGTACGTACATCAGTTCAGGTTGCCATGCACCATCAGCACAGAGACGCAACTGTCAGTTCAAATCCAACAGTGATAGCAATAATAGAAGTATTAGCAGTAATAGAGAAGATTAGGGAGCAAAGATATGATTCGAGAAGTATTATTCAGTGAAGTAAAGATTATGAGGAATTCAGAAGCTTAGAATTTCATAGAACACAAATAGTGGATGCACTTGCGCCATTGCAAACGATTCTGATCTATGTCATTCAAGGTCTCTAACCATCGGTGACTATCGTCTCGCGGACCCCCAACCAGGTAGCCTACATCTACCGACATGACTCAATCCACTTGTCAATGACTTCATGTATTTCTACCATGTTTTGGTCTGGCCGCCCCTAGCTCTCTTCCAATCTACTCCTACACTGCAAAACATAGCTCGTCGCGGTAGTCGGTGATTAGGCATACGCAACACATGTCCCAGTCACCTAAACTGATGAAGTTTCACTACTTCATCTATTGATTTGTCATCCCTAGCTAGAACTCGTTTCCTAACGATAGCATCGCTTACTCAGCTGTCCCAGGATATACTAGCAATGATTCAAAGATATCTATAATCGAATACTAATAGACTACAAATGTACTCTACTGTCATCGGCCATGTTTCACACCCGTATAGTAGGACGGAGAGAACTGCTGCACAGTACACTCGTCGTTTAGTCAGCAAACGGATATCTCGCCTGCGCCATAAGTGACGCAGGTTGGCAAAAGCCAATCGAGCCTTCTGTATCCATGGTGAGATTTCGTCAGTCACCAGGCTATCAGCGCTGATGAGACTCCCTAGATAAGTGAAGCGGTCTACACGTGCCTTCACATCTATATCAGAATTCAACATTATATATATATATATATATACCTAATTTTAACTAGATTTACTTAGCAATCAAATAAATGACTTCCATATTATTTTCTTGATATATCTATCCTTTTTTTCTATTCAAAATTCACTTTGTTTTTTTATTCAGCTACCAATGATTCTCTCTCTAACAATTCAAATGAATCAATGATGATTATTGAAGATGATGATTGTACACTTTGTCCAGTTTACAAATCCATTCAACAACTATCATGGGATGATTCATCCAATCATCATTTAATCTGTGATCGTTTCACTACTGGTAAATGGGGTGAACATGAAGATGCTCAAACGTTGTTGGAAAAAGATTTAAAAGCACGTGAAGCATTTCAATTGAATGAAGCGAGAAAATATGCTAATGCATCACGTAGTCGTGTAGAGCATACTTTCAGTGGAAAACAAACTTCACATTACAATGATGGTGATGGTGATGACGATGATATTGATTTAGATAATTTTGACGGCGGGGAAGGTCAAGACAATCCCGATGACTATAGTGATGATGATGATGGTGACGATGGGGATGACAGTGAATCACAGAATGATGAAGATCATCTTGATCATGATATGGAAGATGGAAATATTTTTCGTGATTCAAATTCTGACGATGAAGATAATACTAATTTTAATGATAATAATAAAGGTGTATCAAATGACTTGACACATTTAGAAGGTGAATATGATAAGGTCAGTGTTGTATATGTGTTATAATTCTCTCTTTGTGAACCCAGCTATTCTTATTGCTTAGTATTCTCTTTCCGACAACAGTACACTCGACAAGTCCCCAAATCAAAACACAGTTGAATAGGGAAGAGATTATATTCCAAATAGCAAAGTTAAATGGAAGTAAGAAGCTGAATCAAAGGTGAAATAGGAACAGCGTTGTTAGTATCTTTATAGTTTTTTGCATGAGAAGCTTCTGGAATCTAATCCACGTGATCGACTAGCGCTGATTGGTTTAGATTTAGCCAATCAGAGTGCAGCTAACAACACGAGAATTTTCTGGAATGCTCTCCAGGTTATCGACCAAGCACTGATTGGATAGGAATTAGCCAAATTTTACATGGTCCTTAATTTATCGATCAATGAAAGCTTAGTAATTTAATAAAAATAGAAGTCCGTCAGCCACAACGTAGAACTTCGTACATTAGTACATAAGTTCAGGTTGCCATACCACATTAGCACAAAGAGATGTAATTGTCAGTCCAAATCCCATAGTGGTAGAGGTAGTAGAAGTATTAGCAGTAATGGAGAAGATTACGGTTCGAAGAAATGATTCGAGAAGTATAATTTAGTGAGGTAAATTTAGAGAGAGAAAGACAGAGGTAGGTGATGGGGAATTCAGAAGATTAGGATTTGAGGGGACACAAAAAATGAATGCACCTGAGCCTTTGCAAACGATTTTGAGCCATGTCATTCAGGGTCTCTAACCATCGGTTACCACCCTAACCAGATTGTAGTATACACCTATTAACATGGCCCACTCAAGTCGTCAGTGACCTGATGGATTTATACCATGTTACGGTGTGGCCACCCGTAATTTACTCCTAGCCTATCCCTAACGCTAAATCATTAGGGCAGAGGCTGATCTCTTGTAACATTGAGATATTTATTGTCTACCTCTAACCATCTAACATCAAAATGTAGTATATAAGTTATCATACAACCTATGCAATAAAATGTGGTAAACGATAAAGAACTGAGGAGTAATTGCGGTATTCAAATGTCAATCAGTAGCATGATATTCTTTGTTTTGTTTGTTTTTCTATTACTTAATGTGTCTGTTCACTATGATACTTCACTTAAATCTTTGTAAATTTTTAGCTAAACATTTGAGTGACAATTGTAAGAACAATATTTATTTAGAATTTACGTTAAAAAACCTTCAAAATTTTTTATGCTCGTCAACTGATATGTTTGTTACGCTCGCACGTAAACACGTCAACTTGATATACTTGAACTATTACGAGTTTACCTATTCGGAAAACGAGAGCGAGTATCGAGGATCAGGTGACACGACATACTACTCAAACCCGATTATCCCAACCCCCATATTTATTAAAAATAAGAAGACATGATATGAAGTAGAAGCTGTATTCTACAAGCATCCAGAAAGTACGAGGTCCGAATCCAGAAGAGAATCAGGATCCCAGACTAGGGATCCGGGACCGGGTCCTGGTCCTGGTCATAAAACGTTACACATAATGCGTATTTATACATTTTGGTCGAATAGGAAACAGCATCGAAGCCTGTGACATTGACAGTTAAGACGACCAATAGGAAGCAACATTTGGAGTGACATTGATAGTCAAGACAACTAATAAGAAACAACATTGGAGCACGTGACATTGATATCTAGGACGACCATAAAATTGACCAATAGGAATTGACCAATAATTCTCATAGGATATTGGATGAATATCCTAACAATGTTTGAAACTATTATGAGTTCACCTTAGTCGGTAAACGAGAGCAAAGACAAATGATCCAGTGACATGATAGGCTACTCTGATCCGAGCGTCTCAAGGCCCCACTAAGTAGAGGAAGAAGTCTTGATAAGGCGTAGAAAGTGTATTCTACAAGCACACAGATCGTGTTTATTTATACATGATAGAAACACCTTTAGAAAAGCCATGTGCGAAAGCATAAAATTCAAAATTAGGACATTAGTCAAGTGAGTTCTGGGGATATAACGTCCCCAACAAAGATTTAGAATCTCTAGCTACCACTGATAGCTTAAAAATGAGTCGATTTGTTTATTCAAATGTTAGCCGGAATCCAAAAGGGTATAATAATCAAGACTATTATTCCGACAATAATTTTGACAGTGAAACAAAAGTTTAGAATATTTAATTAAATGACTTCACAAATGACACCGTTTTTCTTTGCTTATCTATTTAGAATTTACTACGACCAACTAAACGACAAAAATTATTACAGAAAAGACAACGTCATAAAGCATTGTTTAATCAGTTGTATGAAGCAGCTGGTGGTGGCCCGGAAGCTACTGCATTCTATGATAAACTTGTCGCTGCACGTGAAGCACAACAAGCATTAAATCGTGAAGTGTTAAAAAGTCTACCTGAAGAACTGGCTAGTCGTTTAGAAGGATTTCCACCGGGAGTTTATGTTCGAATGGAAATTCGAGGTTTGTTTTATTTTTTTTCTCTGTGATGTATGTATATGTGTCAGTCAGTTGCAACGTAGAACTTTGTTCGTACGTACGTACGTACATAAGTTGTCATACGACATTACCTAAGAGACTCAATGGTCAGTTTCAAATCCCATAGTGGTAGAGATAGTAGGAGTATTAGCAATAATGGAGAAGATTAGGGTTTGAAGATATTATTCAAGAAGTATATTCCAGTGAGATAACTTCACATAGAAATGATGAGAAATTGAGGGAGGAGGAATTTGAGAAAACACAAAGAATGGATGCACCTACGCCATTGCAAACTATTTTGAGCCATTTCATTCAAGGTTTCTCACCATCGATTACTATCATCTCGCGTATCCCAACCAGGTCGTCTACTTTTGCCATCATGTGTGAAGCGAATTTAAGAAAAAAAATTCATTTGTAAACAATTATTAACGTTAAAAAAATGATGGATTTTTGTTATTGCAGTTATAAATGTTCACTAAATTTAAAGATTTTGTTCATTTCTAATTATATTTTAAGTTAGAGCTTTGGAGATTTGTGTTTTTACACATTTGAAATCATCAATCAATCATTGTCAGACCACTATTAAAAACCTGGAAGCACTGGATAATAGCCGTTTTGTCCTGGTATGGGACTCATCAGTGGCAGTGAGCATCCACGACTCCTGCACCTCGCAGGATTCGAACCCGGGGCCTTCGGTATTGTGTGCGAACGCCTAACCATCGGACAACTGAGCCTGTCATTAGGGAAACTGTGTATTTTAGTAAGCTGACAATAGTTGTAAAATTATACCATACTAATATCCTTGAGCTGTGTTAGAAGTAATCTTGACCCATTTGACATAAATCGAATCGTGCAAGTTGCAGGATTCGTAGGTGCGCACTGCTGATGAATCCCATACCAGGACGAAACGGCCGTCCAGTGCTTCCAGGTTTCTAGTGGTGGTCTAAAATTGGTTGATTGATGATTTCAAATTATATTTTAATTTAAACATATAAATATCGGGATAAAAGGGCACCCAGATATTTATGCGTTACACAAATCAGTGAGTTTATGTGAGCTGCGATACTGTTCGGATGCCAAAACCGAAACAAATGGTTTTCGTAGGAGGCTGCTTCCTAAGCCTTTAACCTAAAGGTGTAACTTGCAAGGCGATGGAGCAACGTCAGGAGATGCAGCCCCATAGTAGCTGGTGACCAACAATAGGGTTATACACTATTAGTTCCATCAGGTTTTTTGAGCCCATGTACACTCCAGGTGGAGCGCTTCTATGATTACTGCCGATCCTAAGCCCTGATAAAGGAGGAGATTTAAACATAGGGTTAGCGACCCCATCCCGTAGAAAACAAGCCTGCTAAAAAAAACCCCAATCAGAAAAAATAGTGTAAACCATTTAGACTCTACCCTAGGAATCATCTTGATATACTTGAAACTACTACAAGTTCACCTTACTCGGTAAACGGAACGAAGATCAACGATATAGTGAAACGATAGGCTAATCTAATCTGTTTGTCCCAGGCCTTGCTAACTAGATCAAGAAGTCTTGATAAGGCGTAGAGAATGCATTCTACAAGCACCCAGAAAATACCAGGTGGCTAAGCACACATCTCGCTTATTTACACAATGATAGCAACGTCCTTGGGAGAGCCACAAAATAGCATAATAAAATAGTCCGTCAGTCAAAGACAGTCAAGGATTTCCTGAGTGGGGAATGTAAGCTAAAAGTCAAGTAAGAATCCCTGGCGCGAAAACTTAAAAATTCGAAATTTCAGAAAAAAAAATACAAAATTAGGACTTTTGCCAAGTGAGTTCGGAAGATCTAATGTCCTCAACATATCTCATGTTTCTTTCTCGACGTGCTATGTTTTGTGGTGTAGGGGTAGGCTGAAAGAAAACTGGGGGTGGCGAAACCAAAATATAGCACTAATCCATGAAGTTATTGACAATTGGATTGAGCCATATTAATAGGTATAGACTTATCTGGTTGGTGTTCGCGCGACAATCGTTACTGATAGTTAGACACTGTGGATGACATGTCTCAAAATCGTTTGCATTGGCGCAGATGCCTCCATTCTTCGTATCCTCCTCTGAATTCCCCATCACCGTTTTTTTAAATTTACTTCACTGAGTTATACCTCTTTTCCGTTACCGCTAGTACTTCTAGTACATCTACTACTATGGGATTTGAACTGACAATTCGATGTTTTTGTGCTAATGTGATATGGCAATTTGGACTGATGTACGTACGTACGTACACAGTTCTCAGTCAGTCAGATGCAACGTACAACTTCGTACGTAAGTACATCAGTTCATGTTGCCATACCACATCAGCACAGAGATATAATTGTCAACACAAATCCAATAGTAGAAGAGGTAGTAAAGGTATTAGAAGTAATCGGAGAGATTAGGATTAGAAGATATTATTCAAGAAGTATGATTCAGTGAGACAAGATTAGAAAGTTAAAACAAGAGGGGTTGAAGAATCCAGAAGATTAGAATTTGAGAGAACACAAAGAATGAATGCACTGGCGCCATTGCGAACGATTTCGAGCCATGTAATTCAGGGTATCTAACCATCGATTATTATCATCTCGCGGACCCCAACCAGGTAGCCTACATCTACCAACATGACTCAGTCCACTTGTCAGTGACTTCATGAATTTCTGCCATGTTTTGGTCTGGCCGCCCCTAGATTTCTTCCAACCTATTCCAACACTACAAAACAGCGCTCGTCGCGGCAGTCGGTGGTTAAGCATACGCAGCTCATGTCCCAACCACCTCAACTGATGAAGTTTCATTACTTCGTCTATTGATCTGCCATTCTTACCTAGCACCAGATTCCTAATAACAGCGTTGCTCACTCGGTTGACCCACGGTATACGTGCAATGCTTCGAAGACACCTATGATCGAAAACCAGTAACCTGCGAATATCTTCTACTCTCACAAAGTTCTACGTTGTAGCTGACTAACTGACTGAACTATGCTATTTTTCGACTCCTTATATTATTATTATTATTATTATTATTATTATTATTATTATTATTATTATTATTATTATTGATTATAGGTGTTCCATATCAATTTCTACAACGATTCGATCCTTGTCAACCATTAGTTGCTGGTGGTTTATCTAGTGCTGAAGAATCATTCGGTTATTTACAAATACGTTTTCGTACACATCGTTGGCTTAAACGTGTTCTTCGTTCAAATGATCCACTTACCGTGTCGATTGGTTGGAGACGATATCAAACAGTGACGGTATTTTCACAAGAAGAACATAATTTACGCAAACGTTATTTAAAATATTCCCTACCACATGAACATTGTTTAGCCACTATATATGGTCCATTGGTTCCACCAAAAACTGGTATGATTGCATTTGTCAACTCGGCATGGCAAGCATTAGATGATCCGAAAAATCCACATTTACCAACATTTCGTGTTGCTGGCACTGGTAGTGTGATTGATACAAATCAATCATTTCAAATAATGAAAAAATTAAAATTAATTGGTGAACCATATAAAATTTTTGCTAAAACTGCATTTATACGTGGTATGTTTAATAGTCCATTGGAAGTGAGTAAAATGATTGGTTGTCGTATACAAACTGCATCGAAAATACGAGGTGAGTGTAGTTGGGATTTCATTATTTAATTATTTACTTACTTACCTCCCGGACGCTCAAACCTTTGACCCAAAAATCTAATCCACAAGGCAATGTCATGAGGATGCCTTCCCATGGTAGTCGGTGACCAACAGTCGGTTCATATGCCATTCGTTCTATCGGGATCCTGAAGCTTATGTTCATTGTTGGTTTGAAATCAAGGTTATCCAACTCTCTCCTAGGTGAATACACCATGGTATCAACTAGTCCGGTTTATTAAGCCCAGGCCAGACATTCACTTTTTATCCTTTCAATGACACTAAGATTACTGTAAGCTAGGTTGTTTGACGTAATCAGCACTTCCTTTACGTAAATGTACTTTGTTAATAAAATATGGACGTGGTTAGTAGTTATTTTGACTGTCACTCATTCTTTTTTCAAAAAAATCCTTCCCTATAGTTATACATATGAAATGTCAGTCATTTACAACGTAGGACTTCGTACGTACGCACATTAGTTCAGGTTGCCATAGCACATCAGCACTGAGACTCAACTGTCAGTTCAAATCCTTTAGTGATAAAGATAGTAGAGGTATTAGAGCAAATGAAATGTGTATATCAATAGTATGCTAGGCAAATCATATGATAATGTTTTATTTATTTATGCATTTCAAGTTAAAATCTATTTCTCTGTACTAAAACAACCTTTGGGTAGTGCCGTTACTCACCAGTCAGTCAGTTAGTCAGTTACAGCATAGAACTTCGTACGTAAGTACATCACTTCAAGTTGCCATACAACATTAGGACAGAGATATAATTGTCCACTCAAATCCCTTAGTAGTAGAGGTAGTAAAAGTATTAGAATTAATCGGAGAGATTAGGGTTCAAAAATATGATTCGAGAAGTATAATTCAATAAGGTTAATTTAGAAAGAGAAAGATAGAGGTGATGAGGAATTCAGAAGATTAAGATTTGATAGGACACAAAAAATGAATGCACCTGTGCCATTGCAAATGGTTTTGGGCTGTGTCATACAAGGTCTCTAACCATCGGTGACTATTGTCTCGATGACCCTAACCACGTAGTCTACACTTACCAACATGACTCAATTCAGTTGTCAGTGACTTCATGGATTTATGCCGTGTTTCTTTTTGGCTGCCCCTATCCTTCTCATAACCTACTCCAACATCACAAAACAAAGCTCAGTCGGTGGTCGGGCATTCGTAACATATGTCCCAACCACCTCAACTGATGAAGTTTCATTACTTCATCTATTGATCTGCCATTCTTACCTAGCACCCGTTTCCTAATAGCAGCGTTGCTCACTCGGGTGTCCCAGGATATACGAGCAATCCTTCGGAGACACCTATGGTCGAAAACCAGTAACCTACAAATATCTTCTACTCTCACTGACCATGTTTTACAGCCATAAAGTAAAACGGAGCGAGTCAGCTCTTCACGAGCACTTGTTAGGCGTCTACGTATAATGAAGGCTAACATTTTAGAAACTATATTAGTTAGACCTATTCCCCTGTGACTGCAACAAGAAGACTTTTGTCCTTTCTTATAAATTTGGACAGTCAGGGATTGAGACCAGTGGGATGAGATTACGTTAATCACCCCTACTCAGTTAACGCAATTCATGACCCAAATTTATACAAACGCCAGTCGTATGTGTTATATGTTATGTTTCATTTCTGTCAAATATTCCTCAACTTTTCTTCTTTCTCTCTCAATCAATTTATAGGTTTAGTTAAAGCTGCATTAACTAATCCATCCACATCGAAACCTGGTGATTTTCGTGCTACATTTGAAGCACAAATTAAAAAAGCTGATATAGTTTTTTTGAGAACATTTTTTGCTGTTGAATTGCCTAAATATTATAATCCAGTATTAAATAGACTATTACCTATTGTTGGAGAAAAAGATACCAAAACTATAGGTTGGCGTTTACTTCGTACATTAAGTGAACTTAAATGGGAAGCTGGCATTAAAACTGAATGTAATCCAGATTCACAATATAAAGTAAGTGTCGATTATGTTAACGGATGTTTTAACTGTTTTATTCTTTTGTACTGCTATATATACTACTTGTTTATTAATCAGTAGTTAAAAATCGTGCTTAAATATTTCGTTGGTCGTAACAGACAACTTTTGTTATCCGTTCGTATTTTTCATTTTGACTTTGTTTTTTTGTTATTATTATTATTATTATTATTATTATTATTATTATTAGTATGCGTTGTATATCATTTAGCAGTGTTCCAACTTTCACATTTTTTGGGTTTGAGGATTTGATTTTGACCAAGTTGATCTTTTGTGCTGTCATGAGTATGAGGGTGGATGTCACTTCTCAGCTGACCACACCGATGAAGGGTATTTCTTGATGAACCTGAGAAGAAAATTGAATTGGCGTTGGTATTAGAGACGTAAGAGTGTGAACGCAGAGTCCAAGGGACAGCTGCCTGAGGCCGGTCGCACACGGCCTTTTGATGGTATGTCTTTAGTGTTAGCACTGCTTTTCAAAAAAATCTACTGCCTCAGACACAAATTCGTGGGGTCAGGTGATGTGTCACATTTTTAGGTTCAACCTTTTCTAACCATTCCCTTCTGTTTCGAGAAGGCATCATCGCTCCAAATTCTGGTTGTCCAAGGGAAACACCTTACTGCCGTCACACCCCTCTACAGTCATTTGTACGAATTCGCGCTCAGACGTTGAGTAGCTGCTTTTAGTCTCATCGTTCTCCGAACGATCTGCCTGGCATGGTAGAACCTTCAAGAACATATGTTCCAACCAATAAAGCTCGGTTGGATCATCATGATGGGCAAGCTCGACCACCATATCAAGGTAGTAGCTACGTTCGAGATATTTTATCCCAATATTTTGGGATAAAAATTTCCAATTAAATGTGATCCATAGTCTAGTTTAAAACGTTTTGGATAGATTTTACTGTCTCTACCTAGCAAAATATTTGGAAATAAGTGATAAGATGAAGGTGAATCAGGTTACCGAATATAAGAACTTCATGTATTGAAATTAAAAACCTTGTTTACTAACTAACTAGTTTCTGCACATATGAATCTTGAAAAAAAATGATATTTGATAATCGACTCCTATTGCATGTAAGTATCAATCAATCACTTGTAAGTAATATAAAACCTGGCACATTTATACATACAAGCTGTCACAACACGCAGTAACACACTGAGATAAAATTCTCATAACAAATAGTAGAATATTAGAATTAATAAAAGTATCCCTTATAATTGAACATAGTAAATAGCATTAACGGTATTATTCATGAAGAAAGGATGAGTGCATGGGGCATATAAAATTATGAGTATAAATTATCCAATTACTGCTTATACTTCTGTTACATCTACCACGATTGGTTTTGAATTGACAATTCGATCTCTCTATCTCTATTCTTATGTGGTGTATGACAACTTGAGTTGATGTATGCATGTACAAAGTTCTACATTGTAGTTGATTGATTGTAAAGTAAAGAATGAAAACATTTGTTTTACAACTCAGTCAGTCAGTTACAACATAGAACTTTGTACGTACATACATCAGTTCCGGTTGGTACACCACATTAGCCCAGAGACGCAACTGCCAGTTCAAATCCCGTAGTTCAGTGAGATAACTTTAGAAAAAGAAAGATAGAGATGATGAAGAATTCAGAAGGTTAGAATTTAAGAGAACAGAAAGAATGGATGCATCGGCGCCATTGAAAACGGTTTCGAGTCATGTCATTCAAGGTCTCTGACTACTGGTTACTATCATCTCGCAGACCCCAACCAGGTAGTCTACATCTGTCCAGTTGTCAATGACTTCATGGATTTGTGCCATTTTTTGGTTTGGCCACCCATAGCCTTCTACCAACCTAATCCAACACCAGAAAATGCAGTTTGTTGAGGCTGTCGGTGGTTGGGCATACGTAACACATGTTCCAACTACCTCAACTGATGAAGTTTCATAACTTCATCTGTTGATCTACTACAACTAACAAGCTGTTAAACTTGATTTACGATTGAGCTGTACACTTAATATCAGACTTTTAATCAAGTGTTACTGTTATTATTTCTATATACATATAAATATATTATTTATTTATAGCCTATAAATCGTCCACTACACATCTCAGCACCTTTACGTATACCAACTAAACTAGTTGCAGCTTTGCCATTCGCTTATAAACCTAAACCATCACGTAAAGAAGCATTAGCTATGCTTGGTGGTGATCCTGTGAAAGCTGCATTAAATGCAGAACTACCTGAACCAGTGAAAACGGTCAATGAAATGGAAACCGAGTCAAGACAAGAATTAATTCAACGTTTACGTCAATTACATTCCGATTTTATACAACGTCAACGAGAGAAAATGATTCAACGTGTCACTAAACATAAACAACAATTAGCGAAAGAGAATGCAATCCGAACAGCAAATGAACGTAAAAGACGTAAACAATATTTTGCTCGACATTCATCAACTCGTCATCGATCCAGTAGTGGTAGAGAGTAATGTTGAATAGTGTGAATCAGTAGTACTACTGTAATGATTAATTTGCATAACTTTTGTACAGAGAATTATTGTAAAAATAATATTTTGAAAAAAGTTTTCTCTTTTTTTTTATCCCTTCTTTGTTGTTGTTGTGATTTGGAACATAGTGAATCTTTTCATTGTTTAGCTGGTTCATTCAACATTCCATCTCATCTCATTTCACTTTGTTGTTTGATGAATAAACATGTGTGAATAGGTTTGTTAGTGTCTGTACTCAAAGTTTCACATTTAGCTTCGAATATACGAATCGGTAAGTGATGTTGGTTATTGAGTTCAACTGAAATGCTGATCACATGACATATGTTCATCTCAGAATTGAACTCTGCTTTTTTTGTTTGTTTTTTCTGAGGAGGGGGGAGAGGTCAGTAATACTGCCGAATGATTAGCTTTTGATAGTATAATGGTGGATTTAATGCACGCGGGATATAGATGAACTAACATTTTTCACTAGGATACAACTTGATCCATGTAAGAACCGAAATGACTGTGGCTTTGTATGTTTAACGAAATCTCAGCACAGATACAGAAAGCTCGATTGGCTTTTGTCAACTTGTGTCACTTATGACGTAGGTGAGATATTCGTCTGCTAACCGAAGGATATGAGTCTACTGCGTAGTAATTCACTCTTTCCTACTTTATGGCTGTGAAACATGACCAGTCAGAGTAGAAGATATTCGTAGGTTACTGGTTTTCGATCACAGATAGTCTTCAAAGCATTACTCGTGTATCCTGGGACAATGCTTTCGTTAGGAAATGGGTACTAGGTACGGATGGCAAATGAATTGATGAAGTATTGGAACTTCATCAGTTGAGGTGTTTGGGACATGTGTTACGTATGTCCAACCATCGACTGTCTCAGTGAGCGATGATGTCTAGTATGGGGATAGGCTGGATAAACTTCTCGAATGACATCTTCGATCACTAATCCTTTTGATTACTGCTTATACCGCTACTGCCTCTGCCACAATGGGATTGGAATGGACAATTCGATCTCTGTGTGCTAATATGATATGACACCTTGAATAGATGTAATTACTTACCAAGTTCTATGTTTTAGCTGACTGACTTACTCTAAAATTCTTATGTAATGAGCCAACATCTCAGTATATACGTTGTCTGATATGCCTTTCGACTGATTGTTGTCACACTTTACATGATAAACAGTCTTTTCGATTTGAAATATAATCTGAGATGGGATGGTGATCATCAGCATTGACGAACTCACACTACTGTAATTAAAGACGATTACCCAATTACAGTTTGAAATTTAATAGACAGACAGACAGACAGATACAACGCAGAACTTCGTACATAAGTACATTAGTTCAGGTTCCCATGCCCCATCAGCACAGAGACGCAACTGTCAGTTCTAATCCAACAGTGATATAGCAATAATAGAAGTATTAGCAGTAATGGAGAAGATTAGGGAGCGAGGATATGATTCGAGAAGTATAATTCAGTAAGATAAATTTAGAAGGAGAAAGGTAGAGGTTATGAGGAAGGTTAGAATTAAGAAGCACACAGAGTGGATGCACCTGCGTCATTGCAAACGATTCTGAGCCATGTCGTTCAAGGTCTCTAACCATTCGTGACTTTCGTCTCGCGGACCCCAACCAGATAGCCTACATCTACCAACATGACTGAGTCCACTCTTCAGTGACTTCATGGTTTTCTATCATGTTTTGGTTTGGCCTCCTCTAACTTTCTTCCAACCTACTCCTACACCAAAAAACATAGCTTGTTAAGGCTGTTGGTGGTTGGACATTCGTAACACATGTCCCAACCACCTCAACTGATGAAGTTTCACCACTTTATCTATTGATCTGCCATTCTTACCTAGTACTCGTTTCCTTACTATGGCATTGCTTATTCGGTTGTCCTAGGATATTCGAGCAATGCTTCGGAGACACCGATTATGGAAGACTTGTAATCTACGAATTGTCCTCTACTCTTAACGGCCATGTGTTTGATATTTAATATTTTTTTCAGTTATATCCACAAAACATTAAATTTTTAAATTTTAACTTTGAAATTTAATATTTAATATTTAGTGGATATAAATAAAGATATTGCAATTTATCAGTAAAAATGTTGGTAATTTAAGCCGACAATCATAATTAGCCAAAAACGGTGAGTAGATATAAAATAAATTGGCGACCAATTAACTATGCGATGAAAATAAATCTTCTTTATATCGCACCTAGATAACCTCCGTTTAAGCGACAGTGGTGCAATGAAAAACAGAGTAAATGCGATCAATTGATTTTATGCATTTGTCTATACAGACAAACATTAAAGTGAGAAAACAAATGTGTTAACTTCATTTGATAAGTCGTGAATAACTATCTAAAGTCAGAGAAAACATGCGATGAATGGAGTAAAAGATGCGCACACGTATATACTCTCAAATAATTTAAGCAATCAAGGTGGGAAATGTAATCTCAAGGTCAACTGATCAGCCCATGAATAAAACCCAAAATTAAGACACTTATTAAGCGAGCTCTTGAGATCTAACGTCCTTTAACAGTACGAATATTGACTCGAGCGAATTGAATTAGTCGGTGTATTCCAAAGCTAGAATAACATTTGTCGATTTGACAGTAGTACACGACAAAAACTTGCGTTTAAACCATATTCGACAAGTGTGTTGATTTTTAATTTTTTTTGGTTATTTTATAGATGAAATGTGGACTAAATTGTCCGGTAATTTCTTGACACTGATTACAACAAATGTTGTTATTTGTATACTGTATATTCAGAATATACACAGTGCTCAATACCTGTTGAGCTGTTCGTTTACATTATCCTAAATATAACGTTTTTAGATATTCTTCCAACTCAAAGAGTGTGAAGATTATTGATATCATATAACATACACTATGCTCATGTGTTCTCCATTTCTTGGGGACATTAGATCCCCAGAACTCTCTTGATAAATGCTTTAGTTTGGATTTCACGTTTGCGAGCATGGGTTGATCAGGTGACCTTGAGATTTCATTTCCCGTCCGGGAAATCCTTGGCTGTGTATTTTGGTGTGCTATTTTCGTAACTGTCCCAAGGGCATTTCTATGATGTATAAATAAACGAGATTTGTGTGCTTGAATGCATTGTGCTGACTGGGTGTTTGTAGAGTACACTTTCTACGCTATATCAAGACTTTTCATTAGTCAACAAATCAGGGTAGCCTACCTGGACTCTGGTTCATCGTCTTGTTCGCGTTTATCGACTAAGCTGAACACGTAATAGTTTCAAGCATACCTCGTGACGAACCTAACACCATTGAACATATTTTTGTCATAATATCTAAAGGAAGTGTTACAGTTTAAGTCATAAACTTATCTTAGCTAGACCATCATTGGAAAGCACTGGATGTCCTAGTATGATGGGATTAATCTGCAATACACATTCCACACACAATAAATCGGATCAAAGGTTTTCGGTATCGCACGTGATCGCGCCTAACTTCTAGACCACTGAGCTCGCATCTAACAGTGTTAATATCTAACTGATCTTGCTCAACCCTGTATCGATTGCTTGCGGTGTCATTGTCTCACACCTGCCATGGACTGATGTAGTCCGGGGTTTGTTTGTGTGTGTGTGTTTGGAAGAAAGCATTTTATTTCGTCTGTGAGACATACTCTTGAAGTGTTTGAACTTATTCAAGAAGCAATTTATACGGCAATTTGTTTTCTGTACAGATGTTAGAACGAAATTATCAGAATTTTGTAGATTGATCATATTTAAATTTTTGTTTTAAATTGCTTATCAAGTTCTAAATTTAGTAAAAAAAAAACGAAAAACACCAGGACGTGTACTTTCAACTTATATTACCCAGACTGTGTTTTTACAACTAACAACGAATTAACGCAAACAAACAAACAAACAGGAGCTGTCAAAATGTGTTATCACCTAAAACAGAAAAGAAAATTGTGACAATTTGGATTTATTTTTTGCAGTGTTTTAATTGCCATGAAATGGTGCACATTTTTGAATGACGTAGAATTATTATAGGCTTACGCCATCAAACTACACCGATGGGTGGATGATTGTGTGTGCTACTGTGTGTGCGTGTGCATTTAAAAAACGCATCAATTCACAGTTTTTAGTGCAATGTTAGTGAAAATTCTTACAGAAATTGTGGTAATTTTTAGAGAGAAAAAAAAATACCCTCTTCAATTTAAACTTTGTATTCAGTGGGCAACTTTCTTTTGACATCCTCTTTTCTTTTCTTTTTCTAAACAGTGGGAAAATTTTTGTTTTATTACGTAATAAAATTATCTGTCTATCCTAGATATCGTCGGTGTTCAATTGTCGTCTTGTTACAACATAGTCACATATTTTTTAGCAAAGCATTTTCATGTATACTTGTTTGTTTAAACTAACAAGAGACAGTTTATTTTCATTTCCTGATTAGACTGTTTAGTATATACAGCTAAACTTTGAATCTTAGCCTGGTAAATCGGTTCCAACATCATGTATGTATCAAAGCGGTGGATGCGCTCTGTTGATGAGTCCTATACCAGGGCGAAACAGCCGTCCAGGTTTCTAATCATGGTGGTCTAACATTGGTCGATTCATGATTTCAATGCACAACAAACACTAATCTCCATAACTGTAATTGAAAAAAAGGTCTTAGTCATTATTTTTAGCATCTTCACTATTGAAATATTCTCCATCAGAAAACAGTTTTCTAACGGTTTTAACTTTTCTATAAATGTCTACTACCTGCAGTTCTTTATTGTAACGGAAGCTACGCATTGAACAATCTTCATAAATTTTAAGTTAATTAAGAAAAAAAAGTAGATATCTATTTTAGTGAATACTACTCACAAAGCGGTTTATTAGTAGTATGCAACAGAGCATCACCTAGATTTTGTTACAAAAGAAAGGAGTATCAGGAGATTTAAACACATAATACATTCAGAGTATTTTGAAGATCAGGTGAGGACAAACAATCTTTT